AAATTAAAGCTTGAAGTCTCTTCTTCAAAACGGTATAATTTATTAAATCTCAAAATCTCTTTTTTAACATAATATAATACAATTAACATTTGTAATAAGACTTCTTAAAAACAAATTTTATTCAGTAACATTTTTTCCGATCATAAATCGATAAAAAAACGTAACAGGATGAAATTTAAACAATATTCTAAACGTTTCTGGCGTTATCAGTTGAGATAAGCCCTGTGGTTCAGCTTAAAAGCCTAAAAGTCGATCTTTTAGGTGTGTTTTAACCTTACCCGGTTGAATCACGTGCAAATCTCTTTTTAAACCTTTATATCTCGTTTTAAAATTTTGTTTTTAAACGTGCCCGATTATATGAAATCATAAAAAAGTGAAGCAATTTAAAATATGTGTGTTTAAAAGTGTAAGCTAGGATTATACGTTTATGTAATTATTGTTTTATTTTATTGATTTTTTTTCAATTTCAGATATGGGATATTGGTTATGGATAATCATGGTGATTATCTTTTGGATTGTCTTGTGGAAAACGAGCTCTGTGGCACGATATTATTTCAAATTTTCAATTTTTGCACTTGCAAGTGTTGTGTTTGCGACGACCCCAATACCTTTTATGCTACTCAAACCGAAAGATAGCAAAAATGCTTTGTAAGTTATATATGAAATTTAATCCAAAATTTTAATGTGTTTTATTTAGAATTCCAGCAGCTGGACTTAGATTAGCTGCTAAATTGATGGGTGTGAAATGTATCGTTCATGGTAAAGAAAATATTGTAAAAGATAGTGGATGCGTTGTTGTTATAAATCACCAAAGCGTTATCGATTTAATAGGTATGATTAAAAGAAATTATCTAATTTTAAATAAAAATTTTGTAATAAGCAACATAAATAACGTTGAAGTAAAATTGGTTGCCTACCTTTTTGTAAAAATTTTTTTTTTTAGTTTTAGCAGAATTATGGCCTATAATGGACCGTTGTACCGTAATCTCAAAAAAAGAAATTTTCTACATTTGGCCCTTTGGTTTAGCTGCGTGGCTTTGGGGCACCATATTCATCGATCGTTTAAATGCCGGTAAAGCACAAAACGCGATAAATAGTACGGGTAAATTGATCCGCGAGCGAAAATCGCGCGTTCTCATGTTTCCGGAAGGCACGCGGAGCTTAAAGGACAAATTATTGCCATTTAAAAAAGGTGCCTTCCATCTCGCCATAGCGTCCCAGTGCCCCGTTCAACCCGTCGTCGTTAATCGGTACACGTTCTTGGGAAACGCGCGTTTCGATGACGGCGAAATTCACATTACGATACTACCTCAAATCGAAACCGTTGCGTTTCATAAGCAAAACATCAGAGAATTGATCGATCATACATACAATGTTATGTCTAGTTATTTGGAAAATTTAGATAGAAATCCAAATAATAATATCGATAAGGTTTGTGAAAAAATGAATTGAAAGTGATTCTTTTTTCAGTTTGTTATTTATGTACGTAATTTAAAAACTGTTAATAAAAGTATTTTTAACTAGTAAATTGATTAATTTTTTATTTATTAACAAGGGTAAAACATAAAACCAATTTTGATGGCTTAAAATTTAAAACTTAATACTTGCAGATAACCCAAACATACACAAAAAGAATATTGAGTTACGCTATTTTTAAAAGATTATTTCATTTTGAAGCTAACACGAAAGTGTAATAGTATATTAAAAAACAAGTTTCGTAAGACACGTTTGAAGTGCACGAATTCAAATTGAAAAACGAGTGGCGAAGCCTAATGGAATGAGTGCTTTAAGTCTTATGAAACGTGTTTTTTATGCTATTTTTTGTAATTCGCGTTTTATCCTCTTTTTTTTCTCAAAAATAAAATAAATTTTGACAATGTAGGGAAATAGGTATGTAGCAGTTGGTAACACCGTAACACTTGAATATAGAAATTTGAATTGACAATAAGAAACTGTCAAAATACAAAATGTATTCACCTGAAAAAAATGTTTCATGTACAGGGTGGTTCAAATTCGATGTCCGAATAGGCTAACTCGGAAACTATAAGAGTTAGAAAAAAAGTAGCTTACATGTCATGATCTCGTTTTTCGAGAAACTGCTAATGCCGAAAACCTCATAGCGCTATCGTCTTTTGTTTTTCCCCTAGAGGCCAAAATTGAAAATATCGTAAAACCAANATATTTCTGATATTTGAAACAAATATATTTGTTGAACTATTTAATTTATATATGTAATTATGCAAAAGTTGGAATAGATTGCATTATTTCACATTTTTTATTAATATTTAATATTATTCTTAAATGACTTAATAAATTATTGATAGATGGCGCCATATGTTTTTTTTTAATTCAAATAAACATAGCAACATTTGTTTGTATTCAAAAATTTTCTGAAGTGTCACTTTAAAAATCCTGTTTTTTAAGATGGATTACGAAAAGTTTAACATGTTAGAATGTTACATATTAGAAAATAAAGTAAATTTTATATAAATTTTTACAGGAAACTGTAAATTTAATTTCGTCGACGACACTAGATGAAAATTTTATAAAAAAAGTTTATTTTTAGCTTTATTCTAAAACAATAAGAAATAGACCTTTCGAACCCTATATTTTTGTAATTAGAAAAAAATACAGAATTTCATAAGCGAATAATCAGTGGTTGTTTCCATTTAAAAAAATGAAAATTGTCATGATATCTCAAAATCTAAAACCGAAAAAATTTTTTTGTCTACATTAACAAATTCTCTGTAAAAAAGTGTCCATATAATGTCTTAGTTATAATACTCCACCTAGAATAATAACGAAGATAATTGCACTTGCTGGTTTTACGATATTTTCAATTTTGGCCTCTAGGGGAAAAACAAAAGACGATAGCGCTATGAGGTTTTCGGCATTAGCAGTTTCTCGAAAAACGAGATCATGACATGGAAGCTACTTTTTTTCTAACTCTTATAGTTTCCGAGTTAGCCTATTCGGACATCGAATTTGAACCACCTGTACACCTCCCAAAATAAGAGAAATTGCTCAGAGTTCAATGTCCTCATCATTGTGGACCTTGTATAGAGTGTAGATAAACATTGTCACATTGACAAGTAGAAAAATTAATGACCCAATGTCACCAACTTGAACTGGTTCCATAAAATGTTACTAAAATCTCATTACAGCATCGGATGCTGTAAAGAGTGTCATTACAGCACCCGTTTGAGTACTATAATAGCTTTCATTAACGTCGCGAATTACAAAAATATAATATACAGTGTGTTAATTAATTATCGATCTCCGACAAAGTATGCAACCAATATCACAGATTGATATATTTGATTCATTAACTTTAAAAGCCGTTTAAAATATAAAAAAGGTCTAACTTTCTGTCCATTTAGGTAGGCTAAATACCGTGTTGCTTATCTTGATTGTCTTCTCACTATTCTAGGACCATGACTCTTCAGGAAGACTAATTAAGGATCTTAAATAAAGAGAATTCAACAAAGAAATGTTTATAAGATTTATTTAACATGATTAGAAGAGGTACTACATTATAAGTAGTTATAGAATTCTAACAATTAATCGACTAGCAATGTAAATAATTTAGCACGATAATTATTACTTACATTTCAACTACATTAAACTTTATACCATATTTTTATGCATTATTTTTTCAAAATAATTATTAACTATATTATATAGATAAACATCACAACAATATTGTTATATATATCATTAAAATGGGTTACAACTTAATTCAACAATAAAAAAAAAATATATAGAGGAAATAAAAATAATACTGTATCCTATTTTTGCATGCTTGTTTCCATTAAATACTTTCTTTCGAAAAAACTGAATACATATATTTCAAAAAACGATTTAAATTTCCTAGAAATTAACGACATTTTTGGTTTTATTCAATCTGGAATGTAGAAGGAAACCTTCTTGACCAGTTTCTAGCCGGATATCGTTGCGAGATCGCTGAGGAATCCTTCCGGGGTGAGAATATGTGATGATCCCATTATAACTTCCCAGTTTTTCACCGCATTCGTTACTTCATAAGCGCAACGAATTTCCGAAAAGCTTACCCCGCCGACAATAAAGACAAGCAAACGAGGTACATTTTTTACAGTTGGTAAACTTTTACCTTTTTGCCAATGTCCATAACGAGCACTACAAATAAATTAATTAGATTGCATTAATTTTTTTATAGTAAATTTACCTAGTTGGTGCATGATATCCAGTGGTTTGAGCCCTTCCAGCTAAAAATGGGAAATGTCTATGATCTAATTTATCATCGATACAATCCTCCATTATATCTTTTAATATTGGAGTCCAACGTGACATTTGATAGGTTTGTTCGGTTATTCGTTCTTTTCTTGGAACGGTGTAAGGTTTTTTTCTATTTCCTCCCTTCAAAAGAAGTCAAAATAATTAAAATATTACATACATTTTTTATTGAAATTTTTTTTACATCACTAATAACATTAACCCCAAGATATTGCAGATTAGCGATGGTTTGTTTATCTTTAATTTGCGCATGAGTGGCTAATTTTGATAAATTCTCATCTGTAATTCCATTTTTGGTCATCGCATACAAAGCAATGATCCTCATTTTATCATATTCGTTGGTAATTTTTGGATCTAATAGAATTGGAACGATATTTCTCATATGATCTTTGATTTTTTCACCCTCAGCATCCGTTCCCATGGCTAAATCCTGTTCAACTTTACATAATTTATCGACATAACCTTGATAAGCTTTCATACAATCCTCGGCTAAATGCAAATGAGTCGCATACTTGGATAATTCCTTTTGATATTGCGGCATCTTTTTAATCATTTGCGATAAATCTTTCATGGATTGTTTATCACTTGCTGTCATTCGTTTTGAATCGGTGAATTTCTTTAAATTTTTCGTAACGCTTTGGGAGACGATTGCGATGTGCTGATGACGCAATTCAACCCAAAGCTCATCGTTTTCATCCAATAGAACCTCTTTTACAGATCCTGCTGATGCTTCGTACTTATAAACATCATTTTCGATCGGTAATAAATCGTAAGCCATCGCTTGGAATGTTAATTCGTGAAGTAATGGGGAAACACAATCAAAACCTCTATCTAAAATTAATAATTGTGACCGAGCTTTTTCCGGCCCTTCACCCATCGTTGGCTCATCAGCTTTATAGGCATCCAATTTCTGTTGAACTAATTGAGCTAGTTCTACATTTCTTTCCCAATCACTAATTAAAATAAAAATACAAAATTTATTTTTTGCAATGGAAGCTTTTTCTTCGTTTGAATTACCTTCGGTAACGTACAGAAGGATATTCACCAAGTGTTGCACATAAAGTGGCTATTTGTTCCGCCATACGCTCCATATTAGCGTTTCTTAAGTCAGCAAAACTTGGAGCGTAACTACATTGGAAAGTATCCGGAGAATCCAAGGAGAAAACCTTAAAACAAGAATCATTTCTTGATTTAAAATAATCATTACGGAGTCGATTTTATATTTAAAAAGCAAGCATTGTGCATAACTACATCAAAAATATAATTATTAGAAAATTATTTTTTAATATTTGAACTGTCAAATTGTGACAGTTAAAAAGCCGATAAAGTAGAAAACTATTTTCTAATAATCTAATCTCAACAATTATGATATTAAACTAATATTTGCAACAATTAAACACACCTGAGATTCATAAGGTAAAAATGCAATGTTGATCTCCTTTAGTGTTTTTATTTTCTTGGCAGCACACGACTTGCAGAGTTCATTGAATAACTCCTCAGGACACACTTTTTTTAATTAATTGGGGAGGAGCAATCACAACAGAGAATACATAGAGTTTATACACATTTAAAACGATAATAAAAAAATGTTTGTGTAAATTATGAGGAGAAACAAAGCATTTTATGTAAATGGACGCTCACAAAAATGTGTTAGTAAAAAAAACCCCAAAAAAGAAAGTTCAATAATAAAATAATATACCTGAGACTCAAATGGAATAAATGCAATGTTGATTTCTTTTAATGTTCTTATAAATTTCCCAACCCTGGATTTACACAATAACTTAAACAATGAATCTGGACATGCTGTGAAAAATTATTTGTTTATTCATAAAGAAAATAAAAAATTGTATTCAAAAATAATGTTTTTAATTAAATCCCCAAAAATCGATTCTTACCTTCTGTGAAGAAAACATGAGCTGCTTTATACATGCATTTCCCATCAAAATCGGCCATTAATGAATGGACAGATTTTTCTGATGGTGTTATCAAATAAATTGCTTCCATTGTTAAAGGTTCTCGCTTCTTATGGATATCTTCAACCACTAAAATTTAATTTTAGAATATGAGTACATATTTATCATTTTCTTACATGTGATTCCTTCCGCTGATATATCATGCATTTTACAACAAGCAGAGACCATTCTCATTGCCAGTTGATCAACGACTAAAACCCTCCATTCAACCCCATGCCCTGGTGGACCATTTTTCTTGGGCCCTTTATGTTTAATCACTTCATTCATGATTTCTATAAAAAAATCAATTTTAAAATTCCCGCTCATGACGTCATTACCCCCACCCCTTTTCTGTGAAAATCGATAACATAACCAAATTTATAACCCAATTTTTAACCCATTGAAATAAATTGATCGTTTTTAACGTTATTTTCTAATAATGTTTATTAATACGATTATTTTTATAAAAGAAAATGATCGTTTTAAACAAGTTTTTTGACGTTTATTGATATCGCGGTTTTGCTCCTCAAACTCGACTTACTTTGCCCGACTTGGTTTTTCAAAGCCATCGTCGTAAAACGGGTTGTTTAAACTCACACTAAATATAAACGCACTTGGTTTACTGTTGAAAATACGATCTAAAATGATAAACACTCGGTGTGGTGGTTGGACGAAACTCCGCAACCTCCGCAACTATGGATTTTTGTATGACTCAACTTCTGGAATATGTCATGCCCCATTTAAATATTATTTTATTTAAGATAAGTTAAAGTTTTATTTTTTTGGTAAACTTAGTTAGATTCTAAATTAACAATAAAATTACATTAAATTTTTAATTAGAAAAGAAAGTGCTTCTTTATTCATAGTTCGAATTATTGGCAATAGATGGTGATATAAATATTGATGTTACTTTATCTATTTATTGAAAAATATGGAGATACTTTTAACTATTTATTATAGTTATTAAATGTTTTAGTGTAATTGAATGATTAAAATAGAAAAATAAAAACACACTAATAAAAAACAGATAAAAATATGAGAAGTCGGTATGGAAGATATCTATTTTCAATCAACCCTTTGAGGATGTTAAAAATAATAAATTCTCTCCTTAAACAAATTCAAACCAAAGATCTTTCAAAATACCAAAAATCTTTCTGAAAAAAATGTAATTCAAGTTAATTTAACTCTTTAATAAAAAGTAATTCATCTCTTGATTCTATTTGTACAAGAAGTGATAACAGCAGTGAAATGGAGGACAAATCGGCTCTTGTAGAAGAAAAATCCGATAAAATAATGATAACGAGAATAATCGGTGAGATGAAGAACAATTTTAATAAATCAGAAAATTCCGAAATCGATCTCGATGTAAACTCTTTATCAATTCATGAAGACATTGAAGCCAATCAAATTATCCAAAAAGAAGAAGATAACAGCGAAAATATTCACGAAAGTGATGATAAGGCAATGAATTTCGATGTGTCGAACATAAACCAATTAAAAAACGACGAAAATTTCACCGAAATTCATCAAGAAAAATTACAAGTTGAATCACCAAAAGAAAGTGTTGAAAAACAAGAAATTGAGGTTAGGAAATTATTAGTTAACTCAAAAGCGAATAATAAAAAGAACACCAAACCGATGAATCAAGTATTAAAACGGTCAATTCGACAAAGAAAAAGTAAGGACGGCGAGTCGGTGTTACAAAGTGCGATTTTACGGAAGGAAAAATCTTATAATGAACCCGCTCGGTCACAAAGACCCACGCGACAATTAAAATTAACCCCGAAAATATTAGAAAATTTAGGACAATTTTCTTCGAATCGAGAGAAAGTTAAAACCAGCAAAAATAATAAACATAAAGTTTTGGATAAATGTTTTAAACGCGTTAAACGAACTAAATTGGATGCTTTTGAAGAAGAAAAGTGTTTTCGGAGGTCACAAAGAAAATCGACAAGTCGTTTTAAAGAAATTAGTCAAGATAATTCTCAAATTAACACAATAGAAAATTCTGAAAACTTTGATGAACCTGATTCAAATTCAAAGTTATGTTTTTGCACAGAAAAATCAAATATTTATTTATCTACAAATGCAGGGGAAGTTTTTTGTCAAGCTATTGATTGTTTTGAGGATAAACAACTTGGTTGTAATAATTTGGTGAATGTAAAAGATACTCCAATGATGAGAACTTCGTGTCGAGTGCCTTTTGGGGTATTTTGCAAAGTTCACACCAACCGAATGTTGAAACATAATCGATGTCCGTCTTGCGGATTATTTTGCATGCAAGGTAAATTCGTAGAGTGCGTAAATAAACATCATTATCATCGATTATGTTCAAATGCGAACTGTCCTCATTGTGGAGCTCCAACACCAAAACACGACGTACTGATTAAAATGCATTCATCGAAAAATCCTGTTATACTTGATAAGCAACGTAAATTTTAGTACGTATGTACTCAGTTTTAACACCAATTAATCTTTATTAATAATTTTATTTAGTCCTACAGCAAAAATGACCTTTCCAAATAAATTCTTAAGTGTAACCCGAACCGATAGAGATTCACCTTTACTCACAATGGATGTTCATGAATACGACATTCGTCCAAGTAATAAAAAGGTGGATGCAGAAACAATTATTGATACAATTAAAAAAGGCGATATTGACGAATTGGCCCAAATTTTAGGGTCAAAATTGTTTCAATTGGAAATTTTGTACAATACAACAGGTGAAAATGATTCCATTATACATTTTTGTGCAAAAAATGGATATCTCTCTGCTCTACATATGTTTTATTCAATAAATGCTGAATTTGAAATTTTGGATAAAGATCAAAATACACCCTTAATGGTTGCTATTATTGCATTTAAAAATGATGTTGTTAAGTATTTAATTAAATCTGGAGCTAGTATTTCTTTTAAGGTAAAACTAAATTCTTAAAATTTAAATAGTAAGTTATTTAAAAATTAATTTTAGGGTGTTGATGGAATGACAGCTCTTCATTTATCAGCACAACATGGTAATTTAGTTGCTTGTGAATTATTACTACAATCGGCAATAAATAAAAAAGATTATATTAATAAATGTGATGATGGTGGATGGACAGCTTTAGTTTGGGCGTGCGAATATTCCTATTCAGAAATCGTGTTGTTCTTCTTACGAAAAGGTGCTGATCCTATGGTGCAAGATTTAAAACAAAACGTTGCGTTACATTGGGCAGCTTGTAGCGGTTCTCAAGACTGCTTGGGGTTTCTATTAGATTACGGGAGTAACGTTAATTGCGTAAACGTTCAAGGAGACACCCCACTGTAAAAAGTTCTTTTATAAAATGATTTTTTTTAAGCTATTTTTTTCTAGTCATATTGCAGCGCGTGAAGATAAGTACAATGCAGTAATTTTATTACTTCTACGAGAAGGTGATGCTTCGCTTTCAAACAAATTAGGTGAAACGCCAATTGATTGTGCTTTAGAAAATGGAGATTGTTTTCGAGCGATTAATTTAAACGTGCAGTTAAGAACCATTTGGTGGAGGCAGCAAAAAAATAGAATAATCCTTACAAAGTAAGCACCAAATAAACCAATTTTAATGTTAATTAACCCAGAATTTTAGTGATATTACAAATGGTCGGGAATTAAATCCAATTCAATGCGTCAACCAAGTCGATGGTGATCCCAAACCTGGTGATTTCGTTTATATAACCGATTATTGTTTCACCAGCGATATTAACGTTGACATTAAAGTAACCTCTTTACATCAATGTACATGTGAAGATGATTGCAATACCGAGTGTATTTGTGCCCAAAATTCTTTAAATCCTTATGATGAAGATGGAAAATTAGTCGATTTTAATTTTTATGGTAAATTTTTTTTTAAATTTGAGGTTATTTTAATTTTATAAAGTTTAACAACCTTACGTTACCATAGAAACGATAATGTCATCAATCAATTATACAAAACTAACCTCAAACATTAAAAAATTTATTTTTTTTTTGCAGATCCACAACTAATCTTTGAATGTAATAATTTATGTCCTTGTAATCAATTAACTTGTTCTAATCGAGTTGTTCAAAAAGGATTAAATTGTCGTTTTCAAGTGTACAAAACAGAGTCGAAAGGTTGGGCTGTAAAATCGTTACAAAAAATCGCAAAAGGTCGCTTTGTTTGCGAGTACATTGGTGAGATCATTGGTGAATTGGAAGCAGATCAACGATCTCAAGATGATTATCTCTTCGATTTAATGGACGATAATAATCGGGATGCAAACGGGTTTTGTATCGATGCGAAACGTTACGGAAATGTGGCGAGATTTTTTAATCACAGCTGCGATGCGAATTTAACGCCCGTAAAGGTATTCATTAATCACCAGGACGTTAATTTTCCGAGGATTGCGCTTTTTGCTAATCGGGAAATTCAAGCCGAAGAGGAATTATGGTAAGAAACAAATAAATAATGTTATAATAATAATTAAAATAATAATTTTTATAGTTTTGACTATGGAATAAAATATTGGTTAATCAAAAGTAAAAGTTCGACATGCGAATGTAAAAGCTCTAAATGTCAATACTCGAAGGTGATGATCGAGGAAACTTTGGAGGCGTATCGGGTTCAAATCAACGACGCTGATAAAAAAATTAATTAAGGTCAGGTTATTATTATTTCTTTTAATTGTATTTTAAGTTATGTATGTTTTTCGCTGTGATTTTAATCAATTTAAGGTTCAAATGTAGCATTTAATATCAATATTAAGGAGAAAAAAAAACCAAAGAATTTTATTTGTTTTCTAAAATACGACTGATTATTGTAAATCTTAAATTAATTTAAATAGTGATTAATTTATTGTATGTAGCACAATTTTGGTATATTTTGTGCAATAAAAATGTTTTACAAATATTGAGTTATACAACCAACTTAACGTTGAAGTAAATACAGTTACCACCCTATATTATTATTTTATTGAAATGAAAACAACTCAATTTTCTTTATTTTTATTGTTAATTCTTAAGAATAATCCATTAAATTTAATAACTTATCACATTATTTTAAATTAATATCTATCCATTCTTATTTTGAACTCAGTTTTATTTATTAAGATTAATTTTATGTTGACGTAGGTGAATAAAAATTCATTTCTCTCAATATTTTCCGTCTTTCGATTAATTTACTCTCAAAATCCGCATCAATGCTTAATTGGGAAGCACTCTTCATTTTGCCTGATAACGTTTGATGTTTTAAATCGCTGGTTTCACCTCCATCTTCCTCATTTATAACGCTAACTGATTGCGATAAAGCTCCCTTTTTAAGTAATCCTCCCAAAATCCAACCGCTTTCCATTCCTGTAGACGTTCCAAAATATCGATTTTTCGATTTTCTTTGACTTTTCGGCGATGAAAGTGGCGACGATGGTAAGGATTTACTTCCGCGGCGCAATGATCGATTAAAATTTAATGGTTCCGTAGCTGGTTGGTCATCAGAATTTTCTAAAACGTTTTCTACGATTGTTGTTGAAGTTGTTGCGGCAGATTTTGAAGTTAATTTTGAGGAATTTACCATTTGGTGAGCAACTTTTATCACGGATAAACCGCATTCGTCGTTTTTATTTGCTGATTCAATTAGTTTTGTATCGAAATGAGGTAAAATATTTGAGGATAATTTTGATATTTGATCTTGTTTTTGTTCTTGTTGTTGTTGGTTTCGCTTAAAACGGGACATATATAAGAAATTATCGTCGGTTTGAGGTGGACTGAATGTATTTTGATCTAATAATGTTCTGAAAAATAATGAAAAAAAGTTAGGTTAGGTTTGATGTCAATAATTATTTTGATTGTAAATTTCCATAGCAACTAAATTGAGGTTATGTATACCTATCATTGTTATTGATTTTATTCTTCATCCATTGAGGTAAAGACATACCAAATGAAGAAGACAATGATCGACCATCTTCAGCCATATTTCCCTGTTTTTCTCAAATTATTACCTTGATGATGATAAAATTGATAATGTTCATTGCTGCAAAGAAAAATACTCACATGATGTTCACTTAAAAATAAATCATTTATTTACTAACGCAAAAAAAAACCATTAAAAAATTAAATGACATTCAACAAGGTCGATTTTATTTAAAGGTTCTACCTGGTAATTATTTAAAGGTCTGATTCTAACCTAGATTTGGCGTCGTCAGCGGAAATAGAAATTATTTTTCAATCCTATCACTTATATACTCGATCCAATTATCACTTTAACCACTTCACTAATCTATTTAGTGTTTAATTATTTACAAAGATGTTTTGTAACCTGTTACGATAGAAAATGACGCGTATCGATTAAGTTAAAAAAAAAATTAAACCGTTTTTATTATGACTCCGTTTGTGGTTATGATTCATAGATGGCGATATACAGTTACCTGTAAACAAATTAAACTCGGCCCCAAAATCAATAGATGTCGCTACAATACAAACCCAACCAAAATAAAAGTACCTTTTTACTTAATTTTTTTAAGTTTTATTTTCTATAACACTAAATACATCGAATTATTTACCGAAAATTTTTAATTAATTATTTCGCAGGTGCCATAAGAGCTTCCAATTCTTTAATTTCCTTCTCAGCTCTTTCTTTCCTCTCTATCGCAAGTTTTTCATCACGGATAACCTTCTGTTTGGCCTCAATTTCCCTTAAAGCGTTCTCTTTCTTAGTTAATCTGGATTGATGAAAACCGCCATATAAAACTCCGGCCCCCAGTAAGCTCCATCTAAAGAACTATTCGCAATTTAATAATCAAAGTCTAAAGTTTGAGGTTAGACTTTTTCGAAGTTATGTAATAACACTCTTTTATAATTTTGAGTTATGTTTGTGTAAATGATGAATGAAAAATTACCTTGATCACCGGTGAAACACGAACTGGTGCTGGTAAAGCTGACATTTTATGGACTTTTTAATGAAATTTAGAAAAAATTGCAAAAGTTTCGACGACAATATGACAGGTGACAGAGTCAATGGTACCAACTCATTTCTAGTATGCAAAAATATCACTAATATTGCGCTTGCGTGATGGAGGCCTTTATTTCGATGATAAAATAATCAAATAGGTATGATTAAATGTTGTTTAATACAGTCGTGCATTGGATGTAATCGGATATACTTCATTGTAAGAAGGTAAATATTAAAATTTTTGATTTATTAAGTTTTAATTTAATTTTTATTAAGATGGCAGTCTTAAGATCAAAGAAAATGGCGTTATTGCTGTCAATTGTAACGGTCGTCGGATCGTTGCTTTTAACGCCTTTTTTAATGTTTTTATTGGCAATAATCTTCTTAGCCTCCATCGGCAAGTCCTTAGGCGTTCGCGAATTATATATTAAACTACTGCTTACAATTTTTGAGGTAAGTACACTAAGAAATTGTTTCATAACCTCACTTTTTCCGAATCATCAATATTAAAATTAATAATTTAAATAAAAAATTCAGAGTGTTTCAATCGACCCTTTGAACTATAAACGAGTGTTATCGTTCAATTGAGTGACTCGATTGTGTAATACACTTAATTAAAACGAAAAAAATTAAAAAGTAATCACTAAGGTCGATTTCAAGTTTTTATATATATATATTTTTTGTGATTTAGTATGGTAGAATAAATATTGAAGTTGCACAGAAACGTAATCGAAAGGAGGAAAGTGAAGATGAAGGTTTCAGTGAAAATTATTCTGATGGGAAAGGAACTTTGGAAAGAACGAGAACACTTTCGCAATCGCTTCAAAATGGTTTTCCTCCAAATAACCAAAAAAATGGTTTTATTAACCACAATGGAATGTCTTTGATTAGTAGAGATGATAAATTAATTTTAATGCCAGAATTGGGACCAACGTTGAAAGATGGTACTGCTGGAAGTGGAGAAGATGAACAATTTAAAGTAAATATAATCCTTTCGATTTCGAGGAAAAAATGTTTTTATTTTTAAAGTCTTATCTATTGAATTGATAATTGTTTTTATCTATTTAAAAAAATTGTGTTGAAATGAGTTACTAAGGTTAATTATTTGTTTTTTTTTTAATGAGGACTTTGGAATTAAGAATTAAATAGTTTTTTAATGCAAATTTTTAACCTAAAATTAAATTAATTTCTTTTTAGGATGAATATAATTTTAATTTGTCGAATTGTTTTGATTTTATCAAAGCTGGAATGGAGGCGATTATCGAAGATCAAGTAACGTCTCGTTTCGAGGCTGAAGAATTAAAAAATTGGAATTTATTAACGCGGACGAATCGCCGTTATGAGTTCATTTCGTGGCGTTTAACAGTAATTTGGATGTTTGGATTTTTAATTCGTTATTGTTTCTTGTTTCCTTTACGAGTTGTGATTTGTTGTTTTGGGGTGAGTAATTTATTAAGTCATAGAAAATAGCTTCATAGAAAAATCTCTATTAAAAAAAAATAATAAAATTGAACGCATGTGGCGCCATCTGTTGGGGATATTTTGAAATTATTCAGCTAAGAATCGAACCATTAGATTACAGGTTGGATTGGGATTATGACAGATCTGTGATAAAATTGTTTGGCTTTGTAGTTTTAATGCCAATTTTTTTTTATTTAAGGTGTTATGGTTAACAATTTGCACAGCTTTAGTTGGTTATATTCCTGATGGTCGAATAAAATCATATATAATTGAAAAAGTCTCAATAATGTGTTTTGGAATTCTTTCTCGTGCTTTATCTGCAGTCATAACTTATCACAACCCAGAAAATCGCCCAAAGAAAGCAGGAATTTGTGTTGCTAATCACACATCACCAATTGATGCTTTAGTCTTGATGTGTGATAATTGTTACTCGTTAATTGGACAAACACATGGTGGATTTTTGGGTATATTGCAGCGTGCTTTGGCTCGAGCTTCGCCCCATATTTGGTTTGAGCGGAGCGAATCTAAAGATCGTCATGCTGTTGCTAAACGTTTAAGACAACATGTTGAGAACCCAGAGAATCCACCAATTTTAATTTTCCCAGAAGGAACTTGTATTAATAACACGTCGGTGATGCAGTTTAAAAAGGGTAGTTTTGAAGTTGGTAGTGTTATTTATCCCGTTGCGATTAAATATGATCCAAGATTTGGAGATGCGTTTTGGAATAGTTCTAAATACTCTTATATACCATATTTATATCAAATGATGACTTCTTGGGCCATTGTTTGTGAAGTTTGGTATTTACCAAAAATGGAAAAATCGGAAAACGAAAGCGCGATTGAGTTTGCGAATAGAGTTAAAGCGGAAATTGCTAATCAAGGTGGTTTAGTTGATTTAGTTTGGTAAGATTTATTAATTAATTTTAATTTTTTGGCGTACTAATTTTTATTTATTTAGGGATGGTCAATTAAAACGAACAAAACCTAAAAAAGAATGGAAACAGCTTCATCAAGAACAGTTTACAAGGAAATTAAAGAAACATGAAGAATCTGAAATTGAAAAAAAGGACGAATAGTGAACTTTATTTTTTAATTAATTAAATTAATTGATTTATTATTAATCGATTTGTAAATATATTAAAATAAGCGGAACGGGAAGGTTAAAATTGCATTTAATACTTTTTGTGTATATACTTTAAAACTTATAAAAAAAGTTTTAATTTATTCTTGATTCCAAGACTAAGGTTGTTTCAATCTAGTATTTTCTAGTCTTAGTTAATTCCGATTAAGTAATGATGAAAGTAATGCGAAAAATTGAGTATTCAAAAAAGAAGACTGATAGTAAAATCATCACAAGTACTTGTAATTTTTAATTCAAAATGAATGTAATGTGGTTAAATAAATAAACTCAATATAATTTTCAATATATTTTCTTTCATAAATAATTTTTATCATTTTTTAGTCACCTGTCAATGTTGAAATGTCATTTTTGACGTTTCGGTATTATATTTATTATCGAATGTTTGTATTAATTTAAATATGTCATTTGAAATAGTTATCCAACAAAAGATGGCGTTAGTGTGAAATTAAAAATTTAAATTGTTAATTTAACGTTGATTTTTATTTAATTATTAAAAATAAGAAAGGAAAAAATAAATAAAATTTCAAAAATTATTTTTATTTCAACAAAATCGTTTATTTGAATCGCAAAAATTCATACTGGGAGGTACGATCTGACAATCACAAGTGTAATAATAATAATTAGTTAATAATAAACGTATGTTTTTTGTCTATTTTTTATACACATTTTCCTACTTCTTATTTTATTAAAATCTCGTCTCATTTAAATCAATTAATTAGTAAATATCGTAAATAATAAAGAAGTTGTAGTACCATTATTTAAATATTTCTTTAATCTCTATGTTTATAAATAAAGATATAACAAAAAAAAAGAAATGTATGGAGATAATAGTCGTAAAAAAGAGACGAAATTTTGTTATTTATTTTTCTTTCGATTTTTATTTGTATTGTTAATTTTAATACGGACCTGGTCTGCTGAAAATGTTTTATTTTAAAGTTTATTTAAAGTAGTCAGATGCGCAACGATTTTTTTAAATTTTTTTTTGGCTCACATACACACAATTAATACACATTTTCTTTACATTTTTCAGACAAAACAAGATTTTCTTTTTAATAGAAACGAAAAAGGCGAAACGACGAACATGAACTAACAAACAAGAAATACTATTTTATTCTTTTTTTGTTAGAATTTTTTCTCATTTAAATGGAATGTACGATAATAAGAAATTTGTTTTAAAATTTATATCTTTTTTGTTGTACGTTTATATTTTATTAATTAATACGTCATCTCCCATAATGGTTGATTTTTTTTCCTCTAAATCTTTTACAATCCTATTACTTTTTTGTATACATGTTTTTACAATGTTTTATCAAAGTTTTATCAAGAAAAAAAAAGAAAACCAAAGGAAAATAGACGCTAATTTTACTTTTACGGACATAATCTTAATTTTTTTGTATTAATCATTTTTTTACGCTCTACACGAAAGTTATACACGAGATATATGATATATTTACGCTAGTTTATTTAAATTTAACACTTACTATGGTTTCTTTTGCGATTATTAAAAAACAAACGGAAAAGAACTTTTGTTTATAAAACGAATCATTGGGAATATTTACAATCTTTAAAAAATAAACGGAAACAATAGTGGGAAAGAACAAAAACGAGGAAAAAAGTATTACATAAAACGTGGCGCATCAAAGAAAGACAAAAAACTTGTGAGTGAAATAATTGTGCTACAAAAGATTTTTTTATGTTTTTTCAAAAGGTTTTTTTTTGGTTTATTTATACACAAATACTATTTTCCGATTTTTTCAAAATCCTCCGCACAGAAGGTAGACACTCAAAATCGGTCAAAGTTGATGTTTTATCGAAAAAAAAAAAAATTATACAACTCTAAACAACATACTACTAATGATAATAATTATTAATAATAACTATACAATTAAATTTAAGTAAATGTAAACTGTTAAAAATTGACCGTTTACATCTCTTTTGAAGCAACTTTTTGGAAATTTAAACTCACAATACATTTCAAACAATGGAATAGAGATAATGAAGAAGAAGAAAAAGTTATAATATACATACATTTACATATAATAACATTTACTTTATTTATTTACTAAGTCAATTTTTACAGCTTACATTAACCCCCATTTTATTTTATTTTTTCTCTAGGTATCTCTTTGTTTTCACGATTTCACAATCATTACATTTAATATTATTAACTTTATGTAAACATTTAAACAACGGAAAGAAGTAACCTTTCTTTTTCAAAAATTACAATCATTAAAAATGAAACATTTGATATTTAAAATCAAAACGGAGTAATAAGACTCCTTTTTTAAAAGAAGCTGAGCGATCCGTTTAATTTTTTTATGTTATTTTTGTCTGTGGTCTTTTAATTTCTTCAAAAAAAAGCTACGGGTTTTATTATCTAGGAATTGAGGGAATGGGGCTTAGTTGGTGGTGCTCTTCACATTTTGTTTTTATTTTTTCTTCTTCTTACGGATGGAGGAGCGACGACAACAGACAATAATTTATTTAGTGTACAAGTAAATGGCGACGATCAAACCGTACAGACCCAGTACTTCAGCGAAGATAAGGATCAAGATCATGCCGACGAATAAACGGGGTTGTTGCGCTGTACCCCTTACACCAGCATCACCTACGATACCGATTGCAAAACCGGCTGCCAAACCAGAAAATCCTACCGAGAGCCCAGCCCCCAAATGAATAAATCCTCTAAAACAACAAAATATTCAATAAAATCAATTATTTTAAATAAAATTGATCTTACCTGTACAAGGGGTATTCTTTTGGTTCCCCCAGCGAACCAGCAATCAATACAGACACTACTAAACCATAAATAGCAATAATACCAGCCATGACTACAGGAATGATCGATTTCATGATCAATTCAGGCCTCATTACGGACATAGCCGCGATACCAGTTCCAGATTTTGCTGTTCCATATGCAGCCCCCAGAGCTATAACAATAACAAATTATTTTAATAAAATAATAAAAAAAATTTTGATTTTTTATTATTCATTTATATTGAAAATTTAGAAGTATAATTAGAAAATAAAATGTTATTTCATAAAATTTAAAGTTATCTTATTCAAATATTAATATTAATTAACAATAACAAATTATATTAATAAAATAATAAAAAAAATTTTGAGGTTAAAAATTTTTGACGTTTAATTTTTTATTATTCATTTATATTGAAAATTTAGAAGTATAATTAGAAAATAAAATGTTATTTCATAAAATTTAAAGTTATCTTATTTAAATATTAATATTAATTAATTTAATACGCAAGTTTTAATTGTTAATCAATTCGTTACTAACTTCACTTCGTTAATAATTTTTGTACGTTTATTAGCATTAATTTAATGTGATTTTTTAATCTTTCCCTCAATTTGATATTAAAAAGTGATATTTAACGACACTTTTTTGAATCGATTAATAAAAAAATACTTTTAAAATAATAAAGCAATAAAACAAATTAAACAGTAATTTTTAATTTTTTAGGGTTGGTATCTCTAATTTTCCTAAAATGTCAATTGAAGATGTTTAAATAAAATTTTTTTTAAGAAAATTCAACAATTATAAGTGGTTAAAACTCGTCGAAATCAAATTAAACGTGGGGTAAGTCAAAACATTGAATTATTCAAAGATTCTTTTGGGTTATTATCGTTAAATTCATCAAAAATACAAATAACAACATAACCTCAAATTTTAATTATTTTTTTGCAACAAAACAATAAAAGTAAATAAGTGGAGATTAACAGGTGTGAGTAACGATAAAAAAATATCACGTCTCGATAAATTATTATCAACAATTTTAATGATTGCAAGGAAAGAACGGGTAAAATATTCGAGAAATTTATAATCACATGTTTAAACGATGACACATGCAGGTGAAAATTTATCCCCCATTTTGCGACATTTATCATGTGTTCGATAAGAAAGTGAACAAATAGCATTCACCAAACAGCTCTTATCTATCTAAATCAACCTGTATTGTAACAATTGATTGCACCAAATCCTAATTTTTTTGAGCCATTTTCTAAATTATGATAGAAAATGTAATTTTTTTGTAGATATCTTAATTAAAAAGCTTTATCACGTTTAAATTGTAATAAAAAACCACGTGATTTCCATTGATTTTATAACAAACCACGTGACAAGTAAATTTTTAATGAAAAGAGGCGCTCTTTTTTCGCAATAAAGAAGTAAATCATTATAGGTGTATTACCTATATGATAAACTTTCCGGTCGGAAAATCTTGTAATATTACATCTAAAAATATCCCAACCGATCGCAAGTTATTATTAGAGAGGTTTATAAATCCTATTGTGTGTTTTCAAGTCTATAATTTTCGCTATTTGCACGTTAAAATAAAATATACCACCACGTGATGACATTTGTAATAATTATTATTAAGAAATAGCAAAAATCATAAACTCAATTTTTTGTTAATCCCAAGCCATATTTAATGATTTAATTAATATTATTATGTGATTTTAATTAAATTTAATTCATAAAATAGAGTTGAGGCGCTGGTCGATTGTCACATGTTTTGGGTCATGTGACTTTGATCATGTGATATGATCATGTATTTTGTACAAAATCTTGTTTTAAAAGTAATTTTTATAAAACAACATATAATTGAGTTCGTTTTGACTCCTCTTTTAACTTGGAAGTAATCTGTAACTTAACACATCATTGATTTTTTTCTTGAAAATAAAGAATGCACCCCAATTCATAATTTTAGGGTACGTTCTTAAACGAAACGTCAAAAAGAATGACTATCTCGTTTTTTTTTTATTTCTTTTTAATTTAATTGTTATACTTTAGCCTAATTATTGTATTTTATATGATTTATGGGGCGGGTCAAAAACATGTGACCAACAAATTACTTTAAACTAGGCCGTTTTTCGGCCGTTTTAACTAAATTAACAACGTTTGAGAGAAAAGAAAACGCCGTTTTACTTAAGATTGGTCACATCTCGTCAAAATCAACTCGAAAAAATTAAGTTAATGTCAAATTTTTGACATACGTCAAAATAAGAGTCGATCGACGCCCATTTATGAAACATCTTAATGATTAAAGCGATGAAATAGAGGAAAAAAATGTAATAGGAATTTTTGATTTTAATCGATAAAATTGCAAACTTACCGCTGAAAATAATTGAGGACGCGGCACCCATAACGCCGAAAAATGGGCCGTAAATTGGATGTTGTTCATCGAGTTGATCCGCGGATGCCATTTTCGTTAAGTTATTTATTCGTTTTCGTCTGGAGGAGAAGAGTATTTACAGGAACAGGTCCGTTTAAAGTGCGTACACACACTCCACTGTATGTCGATCTAACTGCGCTTGCAAATATGGCTTACACTGTGGCACCCAACGTACGGGTCATATGACCATAAGAAAATTCTCTGTCCAGTCCTCGATCGTCCTCGATTCTCATTGGACGATTCGGTCTTCGAGGTCGCGTTTCAACCAATCAACGACGTACAAACTCTTGTCAATCGGTGACGTTTCATCGTTAACCCCTCACACCGCGTTTCCGACGACGAAATAATAATTCGTTTAATTCCATTCCATCATTTCTTAAACCCTTTACGTAATTCGTGATTTAATTTACACAAAACTTTGTCAATTTTATACGAATTTCATCGACGGGTTATTGCAAAAGTACTGATTTGAGTCACATGATAGGGTACTTGGTGTTGAATATCCTGTCATAGTCGGAAGATGGCGCGAAATTTAAAAAAGTATTTTTTTTTAAATATTAAATCAATTTATTATATTAATCTTATTTTTTTTTTCGTATTAATTATGTAATTTAGATTTTATTGATTCGGTTTTAAAAGATTTACAGGTTATAAAATCGTTGATAAAGATTTGAAAAAAAAAATTCTTTTAGGAGAAGGTGGATAATTATCTTTATATTTAACTGCGTTTACGTAATCGACTCGGTCGCGTACTTCTAAAACAAACAAGAAAAGGCGAAAACAATGTTTCAAAATTTGTGGATTTTATAAATTACGAGAATCCACCTTGTGAACCCGTGTGACTTTCAACGTAACGATTAAATTCGGGTCGTTTCAAATCATAAATTAATTATACCTCATTGATAAAATCTTCGTCTAAATGAATTGTCATAAATTTTTAAAAACGCTTTATCTTTGACACGAATTTTTGTATTATCTGCGCAGTTTTTTTAATTTTATTATCTTTAACGTTATGATACTCTGATCAGCCCTTTAAAACATTTTATTATAAATTTTTAGGCGTATTATTTTATTAATCCTTTAAAACTTAAAAATTTTCCGTGTTTTATCTTGATAATTTAAGAAAAATGATTTAATTTTTATAGGCAACCCATATTACACATTAGTAATTTTAGTTGCTTATGACAACTTGACGTTTTTAATTTAGCTTTTTTTCTTCGTGGTTTAAAATGAATAAATTATAAGTTATTGATGAGTTTATTAGCAAAAAACAAATGGATGTGAAGTACAAAATAAAAAGGATATGAATTAATCGCAAATTACACATTATAAAAATGTTAATTAAAGCTAACTAAACGAAATTGAAACTGAAATAATTTAAATTTTTATTGTTCATCATCGCTATCGGCGGCTTTCCTTGGTTTGGGTCCGCCGGATCGTTTGGCCACGATAATCTGGTCAACTCTTAAGATGGTGGAAGCGGCCCCAACGGCGTATTTGAGTCCCCAATATTTGCAAACATATAGATCCAAAATCCCTTTTTCGACTGCATCACAAACCGCGTTATCAGATTCAATATCAACACCCACATTCTTTTTCCCTTTCTAAAATTAAATAAATCAAAATGATTTTTACCAATTTTACAAATCATTACCTGATGTGCTTCCAAAAGTTTACTTAAAATCAAAGTAGATTTTTGTCCACTATTATCAGCCAACGATTTAGGAAAAGCTTCTAAAGCTGTTGCAAATTTCCTAACAGCGTATTGATCCAAACCGGGTAAAGTATCAGCATATTGAGATAATTGATGTGATAATTCAATTTCACAAGCTCCAGCTCCAGCTACAAATTTTCCATCTCTAGAAATTCCTTTAAAAGTATTAACCCCATCATCAATAGCTCTTTCAATATCATCCATGTAATTATCAGTAGCTCCTCTTACGACAATGGTAGCAATTCGGCTCTCTTTCCCTTCATTTCGAAAAATAACAACTGTTGTGTCACCCAACTCTTCAACAGCTACATTATCACAAAGCCCCATTTCTTCGGAATTTGGAGGAGTTAATCGAGGTAGAACCGTAGCCCCAACAGTTCTACTTAATCTTCTCAAATCAAATTTCGAATTTAACCGTACAGCCATCATTTTATATTTATTAATGTAGTGTAAAGCCATATCACCAAACTTCGCCCCCGCAACGACAACTTTGGCTCCAGCATCGGCGATAGCCTTAATTTGTAATTCGAGAAGATTTTCTTCTCCTCTACTAAAATTCATTAATTCATCAGCATTTTTAATCAATACTGTTCCTTTAGTTTCCGTTTGTAGAATATCCACAGCACAACTGTAAACAACCACTTTAGCATTCAACATTTGTTGGATATCACCTTCAACATCTCGTTTAAAAACCATTCCTTGAATCACTTTCGACGATTGCAAACCAGATCCAAGAATTTTACAAACTCGGATATTATCAACATTAAATGTTGTTATTTCGGGCATTATTGACACGCAGGCTTTTGCTACTAACTCAGCTAGAAAATCTTCATTTCCGTATTGTTTTGATTGGATCGAAGTTAAAATTCCTTTTTTAACATCGTCAACGTTACGATAATCTTTAATTTCCTGACAAACTAATGATGGGAGGATTTCTAAACATTTTTCTAAAGCTTTCTCATAACCATCGGCAACCTCTCCCGGTGTTACTCCTAACCTCAATAATTCTTCGGCTGCTTCTAAAAGAGCACCGGCCAAGATAACGACAAAATTGGTACCATCACCCACTTCAGAATCTTGCATTTCACTACCAAGAATCATTAATTTAGCGGCGGGGTGTTCAATTTCAAGCTCGCGCATAATTGTTGCTGCATCCGATGTAACAAAGTGCTTCTCTAAATGATTTATTACCATTTTATTCATACCATTTGGACCATAAGTGGAACGTACGCTATGAGCGAACTCTTTACATGCGGTAATATTACGAAAAACAGCTTCTTCTAATCCAGAATAATACTATTAAAAGAAAAATTACAAGGTTTAGTAACATAACCTCAAAATCAATCATCAATATCGTTCTACTTATAATTTATTTGAATCTTTGTCTCTATTTGAAACAATCATGACTTAAATAGAAAAAGACTTAAGATTATAAAGAAAATTTATTAATAAAATAATAATGCCGGGTGTGTTCAACCAAGACTTGTGACCACATGTTCGGAAATTGATTAAATACACTCACCCGGGCTCCATCTTTTAACATTGAAGTGAATCCCGGTGCTTTGGGGACGTGTAAAGCCATTTTTGAGGTGGAATTAGTACGAATAATCCAAGAAAAATTACAATTTATATTCGAAACGAGATATCTTGGTTATAAACGAAGTTGACAGTTCGTTTAAGTAAATTATTACCATAGTTACTAAAATGAAATTCCCTATAATTCGAATATTCTAGAAAAATTAAAAAAAATTGATTTTATTTTTTAGTTACGCCAATTAAGATCAATTATATTCAATTTAGGGTTTTAAAATTGTTTTTAGGTTAAGATTACTTACTGGGTTAGACTTGTTGTTAATTATATTATATGATGCACATAGATTATAATAGAATCAAGGATGAGTGTTTAATTTTAAGGGAAGATGATAGGTGGCGTTATCGACGCGGGCGTCATCGTCGGCGTCGCCGCGGCCGCTCCCATTCGGTGTGTGCACTCGGTGTAGAGAGGCCGCACGGTCGGCGGCCCCTTCCTCTCTCGCCAGAGGCCCCCGTGTGCGTGTCTCGTGTGTAAGAGTGTTGACGTAGTGTTCGTTTTTTTATAGCCACGACGACGGTGCCCAGGTGGTCAAATAGAAAAATGACGCGATTGCGGTTCGCCGCCAGCGCAGCGGGACGCTCTAGGTGTAGCCCCACGGGGCCCCCTTCATGATATATATGACGACCACCATCGGAAAACGCGCAGTGACTACTTTTAACGAAGAACGCCGACGACGAATCTTCTCTTATTATTATTATTGTTGTTGTTGTTATTGTTCTTGTGTGTTGCCAACTACGAAGACGTCGACGAATTTGATTAGAAGATGGCCGCTTGGGATAAACGCCCCACGAGGGGGCCGCTTTTTCATCCAAGCAACCAAGGGTGGGTATATAATATCCAATTATTTTAGTTTATAAATAAATTATTATTATAATATTTTTTTTTTAATAAAGCTTTATTTATTTTTTTTTATTTTTGTTTATTTTTATTATAAGTTGGCAATATCGATCCTTAAAGTGTTTACCCGTCAAACATTGTCAAGTTTATTTTAAGTCATCTTAAAGGGGCGTGGTTTAATACATTTAAATCTAACCTCAAATTATTTTTTTTAAGTTTTTCTTTAAAAGAATCTAACAAAATCATTTATTTCGTTTAAACCCTTCCAATTCTTGGAACCATCAAGTTATAATACCTCTTGATGTATTGAGGGGCCACTCCCAGAAACCTTTAATTACATTTGGATTTGAAAAGGTAATAAGATTGTGGGGCTAAAACATTATTGATATTTTCACCTAAAAGAGATAAATGATTGATTTAAAGTCTATGCGTTATAAAAATGTCTTTCTGATGGGAATTACAATCGATTTTTTAACGCGTTATCTCAAGTTTCCGGTCCTCTTCACAAATGCAAAGTTAATTGGGAAAAACTGCTTCGGAACTAGACGGAAGTGAGGTTAGGTGCGAGAAAGTTCTATTTTAACCGGTCTTTCTGTGTTCGTTCGCGCGAAGATTTTAATTTAACTTCAAATTAATTCACTTCCTTTACCTGTATTCATCGAAATCCTTCTAAATTAAACTTTTTCTTTTTATTTATAGAAGAAAAGTTTTAGATACAATTTAAATTTATTACCAACTCAAAAAAAAAAAAAAAATTTAAAATTAAAAATTTTTTAGTCATTTAATCATAATTTTTTTTAATTTATGAATTTATAATTCAAATTAAATTTAATAAACGATTTAATTTAATCATTGATTAATATCAATTAAAATTTATATAATTAAATTTTATTTTTTTCAAGTTGTCTAATTTCAATACAAACAATATGTGTCAAATTAAAAGTAAGTTCGAGTGAGACTTTATAATAATATAGAGAATGTTATTTGTGTATATGTAAGATATTAAAGAAAAGGCAAAAGGCAGGATAACCTGCGATCGATAAGTGGCGAGTCCTGCCGCGCCCTGCACATTTACGGCGATTTCCTCTCGCTCCCACTAGTACGACATCGTTCTCGTTGACTCCTTCTTAACGTTGGGACCGTTGCCATTCATCAGAAGGATCCCGCAGAACGTGACTTAGCGCTAATCGTCTTCATTTTGGACGTCAAGAAGGAGGGGGCGCAATCCTTGTCACCTCCTCTTACCCTAGGGATCAATGAACATCAGGAACTATACCTACCGGGCCATATGAGATAAAGTGAAAACCATCTCCTCGAGGGGTTTGATTAAGTAACCGTCGAGAAAGTAATTATAAACAGGAACGGGAGAATTTCTTGAAGTTAATTAACAGTTTAATTATTTGAAAAGAATTTTATGTTATTTCAATGATACTCAAAAAATTAAATTTTTAATAAATCGTTTTCTACTTTATCGACCTTTTTGGTTGGTGCTTAATTAGTTGCCCAACTCACTTTTTTTATTTTTAAATAAAATTTTGGGACACTTTGGGATTATAAACAAAATAAAGAAGAGAAAGTCTACGCTTGAGGCACTTTTTCTTTAAGTACTTCGCGCGTGAAAGTACTTTGAAGACATAAAAGAAAAGTAAATAGGATTTTTTTAAATGTAACTGGATGGTTTTAAAACCCAACGTTTTTGGTTATTTCATGAAATTTTGTTTTATGATTTGATTTTTTGAATATTTCCAATTGACCGTTGTTGGATTGACAAGCCCCGATTGAATCTTACCTATTCTATCTTTTGTGATGTTTCTTTTTATCTTGTTATAGGTAAAATTGGAGGTTTGGACTTTGTATTTACCTCCAGCCCTTGTGGTAGACTCTGACGATATGGTAAGAATTTATTTATTTTATATTTACTTAGTTCTTGACAAAGAAATCGTTAAAAGCAAATTTTATCTGAAATATTGGAACATGACGTTTTAAAATTATTTCTACTTTATCGGCACAGTTAGCTGTCAAATGTAGACAACCTACATTGCTAAAATTTTTAAAATCTATATAAATAAACTTGTTTAAATTTATTTATGAAGACGTTTCTATTTCAAAATTGAGTCATCGCCCGAAAAGGAATGAAACAAACATTGGAAACATCCAATAAATCGTTCAAATTGCCGAAAGCCTGTCTTCGAATGAATAATTCATTGAGGATTCGTCTCCCCTTTCCATATAAAAAAAGATTCTTTATCTTTTGCGTATTTTTTTAGTTTAAAACGTACTTTTGAAAAAATAACTCGCAACTTTTTTCTCTTTTTAAATCGATGTAACCATTTGTCTTAGGTTTAATCAGTCGTTCGAGTTCGAAATTGCCCAGATTTACCACAAACCCGTTCTCTTCATCCCCGAATTTAAATTTAGATTGGGTTCTCTCATCGGGATGAACTAACTTTTACGTGTAAACCACCCCATATACAAAAGATTGACTTATTAAAAAAAAGTTGGCTTTTATTTTATTCCAAAACAGGAACGTTTTAAACTCAAATTTCGGGTATTTTTTGGGGGAATACAAAAAAAAATGTTTTTTCTACTCTTCCAATTATAAACTCGTTTACATTTCATGATTTACTAATAAACTGGATGAAAAGTGTGGAGATAGGGATTCGAATTAAAAATGATTCGAAAAAAAGGATCGTTTTTTGGGGGGTTTCGATTTCAATTAATATTTTTTTTCCAATCTCCTACAATCTGGAAATCCAATAAAGATTCCCGAAGGAAACGGTAATCCCACTGTCCATCAACGCTCGATCTATTTGCACCACCCAAAAACCCCCTTTTTTTTGAGTGTGAGACGAAAGGCTGGTTTAAATTTATAGCGACCTTATTTCGTATCGTATAACTCTTTTGTGTAATTTGACACTTTTTCAATTCGATTGCTTAAAAAAATAATAAACCAATATTTATTAATATCCAATAAACTCATAAAATGTGTCGAATCTGCTTCAAATTTAAAGTTACTTCAACTTGATGCTTTATAAGTTTCTAGATTCAAGATTTTCTTCTGCCATTTCATGACTATGCTCCATAAGTGAACAGTTTCCGACTTATGACTGTGTAAATCATAAAGCTATCAATAATAAAGAAGATAACCGCTGTATGACAGTTTCTGAAAACAACTCTATTTTCTGGGTGTTGTTGAAAGTAAAAAAAAAGTATAAAAATCTTTTATTATAATAAATATTCACCGTATATAAAGAATTAATTCAATATGATGTTGTATTTTGACGGGTTTATGATTGATTTAACTTAATAAACACCGTCCCATTGTTCTCGAAACAAACAATAATTAAGGTTCGCGTTCAAAGTGCTATATATTCTATAGTGAGCGAACTCTATTAGCTCCGATAACTTTGGTAACTCTCGTACAAAACCCAAGCAATTCGATCAATGTTGCTTGGGAACTTACCACATTGGGGCGTGGTACTTAAATTAAATCGCTGTCGCGCCATCTGTATTAATATTAAAATCTAAACCAAATTAAGCCCCAAATATTGAAATATTTAAAAGTTTTTTTTTAATTTCGAAATTAAAAAATCAATAAAGTTAGAAATAGTTGATTCAATTGTCCGCAAGATGGTAGTAGTGAAAGGGAAAAAATTGTGGTTACCGGCGCCATCTATCGGTAGATTTTAAGATTTTAATGAATTTCTTATTACAATATTTGAAAGTCAATTTTTTGGAACGTTATCGTCGCATAAATGAATAATTATTATTCAGAGAAGTTTCCGTGTCATTAAGACAAATATTTGCGGGATATAAACGGGGTCGAACTTCCTCGTTTCCCATCGGGACCGTAAATATTCATAGTTTAAGGACGACGTGCTTTTGAATATAAAACAGGTAATCGCTTTTAAATAAAACCTCGTCGAGTTAACTTTGCTTAAAAAGATGTATAAAGCGTTATTATTTGATTACGATGTAAAAAGATTTTAATTTTAACGAAAAGAATTTTTAGATACGAGATGGCGCGAGTTGAATCATTTGAATTTCTTATGATATAAGAAAATATTTTGGGTGGGGCAGGGTGCGTTGACCTAATTCTTCGTCGTACGTTCCAAAATTTTTAGAATCATTTTTATGCTTTTAAATATTATTTTTTCACGCTTTGGTTATGTTCGTAAATTAAAAAAAAAAGGAATGAAAAATTTAATTTTGTAGTTTCCGATGTTATAATTTAACGCGAAATATGGTAGATGGCGTTTGTGGGTGTTACGCCCAGAAATAGCACGTGTACTCGGTCTTTATTGCACATGCGTGAAGTCGTAAATTAAATTTTACGAGAACGATGTTTTTTTTATGGGGAATAATTTTAATAAGTAAATCATATTGTTTAATTTCATCTAAAAAAATAAATTTAAAAATTGATTTCTACTTTATCGACAGTGATTATTGTAATCGATAAATGTCATTTTTAATATGTAATAAGTGAAAAAGACTTTTATATAACAATTAGTTATGTTTAGATGTTTAATTAATTATTTTTTTGCTATTTTTAGGATACAGTATGGCCCAAGCACACCGGCACACCACAGGAAGAAGTCTTGTTTTGTCGATTCTCTGTCTCCATGCTATTTGTCTACAGGTTACAAGCGGTAAGTTTAATAATAAGATTTGAATTATTTTTAGATGGTATAATGATGTTAAATTGTCCAAGTTTCAATTTGCAACATTGGATTTCCCCGATTGAATTAGTCATAATTGGAGGATAAAGCATCGGTTACTAATCAATGTACCTCTGATTGCTTATTAACTATAGCCAGGTCACTGAATTGTTGTTAAATTTGTTTACAAGTTGATTTTGGAGATGATTGAGTTGGGTTCTTTTGATTAAGCAAAACAAGACTTTGTTTGGTACCCAACAACGAAACTTTTAGGAAAATTAGGGAAATTTATTTAAATGTATTCGGTATACATATTTATTGTTGCGGTGTCGCCATCTGTGGGTGTACATCAAAACGAAAGTTTAGTTGAAAATTAAGAAAGAAATCTCTCCGAAATCAAATTAAATGTGTGTCCAAGTTGAAAAATTGATCTAAATTGATTTTTTTAACCGTTGGTGCGAATGAATTTAAGTCCAAACGTTATCATCCACTATTTCTGTTTCCCTTAAAAAAGGTGAGCACTGTGAGTAGTATCCCAATCAATATTTCATCCCTTATTCCCCACCGCCCTTCGTCCCCACCCTTTTCGACATCGGACGAAGGGTTTTGTGGAGGGGATTCGGAGTTAAAGGGGGGCATCCGAAACTATGCCTCTCTAGAGTAATTCTCGCGGTGTACTAGGCTGTGAGCTTTTTTGATAAAAAGAAAATCATGGTTGCGGTTGCGATATGTTGCATTCTCGTGTTATTAGCAGTTTTTATTGTGCTAATTATAGTGGTTGGACAAACTATTCGTAATCCAGAATCGGCGACGTAGGATTTAGTGTTGCTTTATTTTTGGAGGTGATGTGGTTTATGGCGGAAGGGAGAAAAGAAGCGTCTTAATGATGATAATCTGTTCGACAATAGATTTTTGTACCTCGATGGGGAAATGTATATTTTCTTTTCGGATGGGGCGAAGAAAACGTAAAGGTGGGGGATGATAATGGTGGAATAAAATGGTCTGCATCAGATCCGTTCCCGTTTTCCCAGTAGATTTCTAAGAAATACCCGAATTCGTAACGATTTCTACCACGTATTTTATATCTGTATACTGAAACCAAAACAATTTTTTTAGATGAAAACGTCGATTATATTTGTGAATTATGTGAATAAAATTGCCAATAAAGTTGATATTTTGTAGTAAGATGTTTTTTGTTATTTCTTTAATCAATTATTTCCAACCTTATTTTCATCCAACCTCAACTTAATTTAAAGATTAATTAATAATTAGTTACTTTTTCAAATTTGGATGGACAAGGTTTCGTTGAGTTAACTGGCTGAATCTTTCTAGTTCTAGGTGTAGTGTTAGTTTTAGTTTTACACTATCACTAGAACTAACAATAGACAGAGAACTAGAAACATTCGGATTTAGCCGCACGTCTTTCAAGACGGCTAAACCCGAATGATTCTAGTTCTAGGTCTTGTGTTAGTTCTAGTGATAATGCTAGTGTAAAACTAGAAGTAACACTAGACCTAGAGACCTCTTCTTATCCTATCTCTGCTTCCCGCTCTTCCTCCTCCCTGTCCCTCTTCCTTGAGTCCTCCGTTCCAGACTTCGTCTCCATATCCCTTGCTTATCTTTCCATTGTGTCCGTACTCTCATCCCTCCCTAACGCCTTCTTCTTCTTCTCTCTTTCCATTTCCTTAACTCCGTCCCTTACCGCTTTTTTTCATCCCCATAACTTGAGCTCTCGTTTTTTAGTTGTTATTCAGCATTATTTATTAATCTGTTGATTTTTCTACATTGTATTTATCGAATACTGGATCTGAACGACATCTAGTAATGTAAGATTAAATTATACATAATCAAAGAGAAGATATGAGGTTTGAGACGAGATGGGTTTTAACCCTTTGTGTCCCAACAAGTCAAACATTTTGAAACTTTGTGACAGAATTAAAACGCTATCAAAATGCACTCAGTAAAGGCCTTTGGAATAAAATTTTAGCAAAATATGCAATCTCCCTATTTTAGCATAGTCTAAGTGTCAAAAAAGATGCTAATTCAAAAATTCCTGAAAAGCGTGTTTATTGAAATTAAGAAATAAAACTTATTTTAAATTGAAGCTTAAAGCTTTCTGTTTAAATCGATGTATAACAATCGATAGGTTGAATTAGAAAAATATTGAGAAAAAGATTGTTAACTAACATTTTCGTATAACCTAAAAGTGTCAAAAAAAGATGCTAATTCAAAAATTCCTGGAAGCCGTATTTATTGAAATTAAGGAATGAGACTTATTCTAAATTAAAGCTCAAAGCTTTCTCTTTAAAATGATGTATAATAATTGTTGGGTTGGATTGGAAAAATATTAAGAAAAAAAAATGTTGAAACAAAACTTACATTTAAAAGCGTCAAAAAAGATGCTAAGTTAAAAATTCTTGGAAGCCATGTTTATTGAAATTAAGGAATAAGACTTATTTTAAATTTAAGCTCAATGTTTTCTTCTTAAAATGATCTTTAATAATCACACCTAATAACCATTTATACCTTTGAACAACAAAATTCAACAGCACCACTTTTCACTAAACTTTTAACCTCATATCTGGATGAATAAGTTTAAATATACCTAAAAACCCTACAGTGCGGATTGTGTCATTTTTTATACAGATTCTTTCTTGTATAGTAGAAAGTACCGACAGCTCTAAATGCGCCGAATATAGATAACTATAGTTTAAAATGAGTGTTTAAAATTACCGGTACTTTAAAGTACCATCGGGACACAAAGGGTTAAACGAAATGGATTTTAGATGAGTTTAATTTAAGAAATTAATTTAAAAAAATATTGTGTGACCCCAAAAATAAATAAAACGTGACTTCCTGGTAAACACAAAAACCAATGTCGTCCTCCGTCTTCTAAGATTAGAAAGGTGTTGTCGGATTTATAATCGTTTACAATCCGTCATCGCATAAAACTTGTAATAACATCTTCGAGGAAATTTTCGAAATTTAAACTGTTCTATTAATACTCATTAACTTAAAAATATGAATAATTTTTTTTAGAGTGCGATCAGACGTTTGTGAGCAGACCGGGAGGTCCTCAAAACGGTACGTTTAGCGCGCCAGAGTTCGTGAATCCCTGGAGTCATTCGCGCCAGTGTGTCTACACGTTTTTGGCCGGACCAGGACAAAGAGTCGAAGTGATTTTCACTAGTTTTGCACTAAGGGGCACTCCACCCGAGTAAGTAAAAAACTTTAATTTAACTTAATTAAAAAAAAACATTTAGAGAATTTTTTTTATTGAAAACATCTTGTATTTGTGAAGTTAGCAGATAAATTTGGATGTACGAAAAAAGAAACGTACTTAACGAAACTATAATAAACAATTTACGAAAATACACCGGATTTAAATTTAAACAATTCCAGTGTTGGAAAATAAACTTTGGGGATTTCATGAAAACACTTTTAGAAAGATTTCTCAATTCTCGAAATGTTTATTTACGAAATCTTGTGATAAAGGAAGCATCGTGTAGTTAATTTTTTTCGTTCTACTGATACCGTTAAGTTCTACTGATTTGAGAATGATGAGTGTTGATTATTTTTTGTACATAACTACTAAAAAATTAATGTTTTAAGTGTACATATTATAACGAATTAATGTTGCACGTTGTTTTAAAAGTTGTTTGATTGAACCGTTCGTTTTTGTGTTGCTGCTTCAGTGGAGCTGCAGTTGGCGATCTCCCTGCGTGAGTACAATTTTATTTTTATTTCTTAATTTATTTCTTATAAACTAAAAATAATAATTCAATAAAATACAACTTTAAAATAATAAAACGAACATTAAAAAAAACATTTTGCTTTATCTGGCTTTTTCAGGTTCTTTTTTGTGGCTTTTGTGAATGTGTCTGTAAAAAATTAAATCTTTCATAACGATTAAAATTCAAACCTAACCCTTAATACAAATATAATAATTATTATTTGATTTAATAGTTGATAAATTTTAATCGTTAATGAAAGTTTTTAGAAAGTAGCTTTATTTTTTTAATTAAATTTTCAACACAACTTCAGGTAAGAATCTTAGGTAAATTAACAAATAAAAAACTATATTTGCTCGTTTTTCTTGATGTATTTGCACGTTGTCATTAAATATTTAATGAATAAAGAGTTACATCTTTATTAGACATTAGCTACCATATCTAATAATCTTCCAGAGATACGTGATAATCTTACAGTTGTTGAAAATGTCATCTTAGTTTGATTTTAAATCATTCTGATCTTTTCTCAAATCGGTGAAAAATCAAGCCGAGGTCGCTTGTGGTCGAGGCACTACATTATTACCATGTCCATACAAAAGTTAACCGGTTTTCCACGATTTCAAGAACAATCAAGCTGAGGTTGCTCGCGGCCGAGGCGCTACATTAACATGAAATTGGCATAAAATCTAAATAGTTGTCAAATATGCGTGATTTAATAATTAAGCCGAAGTCAAGACTATCAACTTTCAATAACTCTGTATTCTCAATTTAATTTTAAAAGATCTACAAATGCAAATACGGCGCTACATTAATACAAAAACTAATAGGATTTCGAGGATACGAAGCTAAATTAGTCCGAGGGGCTACATCAAGTCTCAGCTGGATTAGTCGTGAAATCGTTGAAAATTAGTTATAATCTGTTTTTTATTTAAATCAATTGTCATTGCCAAATTTTTATAAAAAAAACGGCCTGTACCACCCTAGATACCATGTTCTATGACCACGCTTTATAATATTTTCCACTAAATAATAAGTAAGGTTGTGTATATTCTAAACGAAGTTGTCACTTATNGCGATTTAAAAAGTTGTTTTGAATACCATGTTAGTGGACTGCGGAACATTAGAGATATCGCCAGAAGATGCGGCAATCTCCAATACGTCTTTTAGTGTCAAAACCTAGATTTAGGAAGGTACGTCACATTGGAGGTATTGCACGCCCGGCGACGATATTCATCTTCTTCTTAGCGATCTTTTTCTTCTTCCTGGTCTTCTACATTGTCTATTATAAGTAATCTTTTAGTCTCCATACTCCATAGAAATGTGCTGTTGAAAATTACTTATAAATGGATCTGAGCTGAGTAGCAGTTTTTTAAATAGATCTTCATTCGTATCCAGTGTACTACATTTCCTTGTGTGGCTCTCTCTAAATTTTCAGATTTTTTTGTTATTAGCTTCTTGCGCCTCTTCCGACAACTCTC